CCCCCTGCTACCTGGCACAGGTAACCTCAATGTCGCTGTGCACACAAGTAGAAATTTTCAGAATTGGCAAGAGATGTCAAGGTAAAAGTTTGACTCCTCCGGTTTGCTATTAGAGCGAGTAGACTTTGCATATTAGATAGAAACGGTCTTTCTCTTGAACGACTTGTGTTTATGGGTTTTGTACAAGACACAGTCGTAGGAAAACTGTATTGTCTCAATCTTCTGTAAAAGACACTGTTTATATATATTGATGTGTCAATAAGTATGTCTTATAACATACAATCTCGTAAAACCATATTATTTAGGTGTTGACCACCAATTTACTACCACTTTATTTACTGATTGTCGATCGTAAACGAATACCAGTTACTAGATTTTGTTGTAACAGGCAAAGGTCTAACAGGTTTTCGCAGATTTCAGGTGAAGTGCGCAGTTAAAACTCTTCAACCCTCCACACGTTCATGTGACGCATTACAAGGGGAAAGTGAGAAGACAGTGGGAATGTACTTTACGTTCCGGTAATTAAGGAGTCCTCCTTTCTGATATTTCACACACACCAACATTAGGTTTTCTATTTTGACAAATCTAATAATCGTCAGGAAGACGACTGGACTTTCCGATTGAAATAAAGAAGTCTGTCAGTTCACTCCATTGTCTTCGGCGTGTTTTATTTACTTGGTACAGTTGTTAAATTGTTACGTTGCAATTAAATCCTAATCCGAGTTGGGACGAGGATTTTTAATGCAAGGTGTCTTGATTTGAGTAAGAGTTAACGCAAATCTTCTTTGCATAAAAGAGCGCTACACAGATGCCCACACAATCACTTGCATAGAGTTTATGGGAATAAAAAGATGTATAGAAACGGTACAATAAACTCTGCACGGTATATTTGTACTACGCTTGTGTTATCAGTCGTACATATCATAGAGACTCCGCAAGCTCCTGTTCGAAGAAACTTTAGTGCAGCCGAGCACCATAGCAATGTAATTTTTCTCGAAACTGCGTCCGACATTGGAAGCGCGTGACGGTGAGAGTTGTATTGCCTCCAGTCATGTTGATCTGACATCTTGTATTGTTATCGACCACTAATAGCATCACATCAACAGAGGCTGTAATTTTGATTTAGAGCTTTACAATGCAACAAAGGCCATGAAGATAAATTGCATTTTTTCGTACGTTTTCTGTTCTAGAGTATCGAGTCTAACTTGCGCTAGTTTATTGTCATTCCTATTCACGACACGACATATCACTAACTCATCTGATATGTTAGTACAATTAAATTCGTTTTCTTAAGATATATAATCTTCCTCTTCTAAACTTTTGTAGTCTAGGTCATAAAATAGAAAATTTAAGAGTTCAGTCTAGTAATATGCTAAATTATTTAGCTTATTTATTTTTCTATTTTGTGACCGTACATTAAGTGGCAATCTTATTTATCTTACCAACTTATTATCTACTAACATTTCAGATGCAGTGAAATGTCGGGGGCGGGGTGAAACCCCTTTGGTTATGACAGTAAACTTGCCGCTAGTTCGGACTTCGGTGTCTCTAGAAGAAAATGCCAGGAAAGAAGAATTTCCTTCATGTTCTTTGTGCATTGAGACCTAAAACAAAATACCAAACTCCACGGTTATTTGCTGTGTCGTCGTGAAAATGGTACAATTTTGATACTACAAGACCGGAGCGAGTACTCTTCATTGTCGTCAGACCGCTTTAATGTCGGAGCAGGATGACTTAAAATTAAATTGGTATATGAGCTCGGGCTAACAGCTAAAGTTTCCACACGAGATTTTCTATAAATATTTACTTGATAATTAGTATATAGGTAGTAATATTCGTTCTGTTATTTACGGTTT